GGGGGCACAGCTGGGGCAGGCCCCGGGGCGTCTCCAGCCCGCAAGGAGCCACGGTGACCGACCCTACCCAAAAGACCCTAATCTGCTCTTTTCCCCCCATCGTGGACTGGCCGGCGTGGCGCCAGCCGAGGACGCAGGAGCAAGAAACGCCTTTCGGGGTCACCCCACCATCAGCTCAGCCACAGTCTGAGGAAGAGCAGGTGTCGGCATGAGCAGGCATGATGGCGGGCAAGGAACAAGCCATTGGCACTGGAGGAGTGTCTCATTGGGCCGCCCATCAGAGGAGCATTTTAAGGAGAGCTCTGGAGGAGACAAGTGGGGGTTTCCATGGCACACGGCAGCGGAGCGGGAAAGCATTTTTCCCACCAGCTTCGCTCTTCGACGACGGCTGCTTGTTGGGCACAAAAGCGCGGGGAAAGGTGCTGCCGCGGCGTTATTTCCAGGCAGCGTCTGTTATCAACTGCCAGCAGGTTTGTTTGGGAAGTCTGCAATCAGGAAATGATCGCACAACAGCTCAGGTCTTTCCACACCTCTGATAACGCTGTGTGCTGAAATCCTCAGCCTGGGAGGCGGAGGGGACATGGCGCACCGTGACGTAAATAACCTTTGGTCAGAACTTGCTGAGGTCCCAGCCTGCCTGGGAGCTGCGGAGCCGCGCCCCGGCGTGCCGGGCTGCTTCGACATGAGCGGCTTCACCCCGCTCCAGCTGGGCTGCTGAAAACACAGGTGTGTTTATGGGAAGGAGCACCATATCCTGCTGATAAGGCTCTTACCTTTGCACTCCCGAGCCAAACAGAGCAATTGCACCTTCTTCAAATGATACCTGGAAACGATACTACTGAAAATAGTATTTTGTTGCCAAAGCTGCCCGTGTGCCGGGAGCTGTGTGATACCCCGATGTGCTCTGTGCCCCGAGAGCTGCTCTGCTGCGAGCCGGCAAACCAGAGCTAAATGGAAGGAGGCAGCTCTTTCGCGATTCAGCTTAAATAACACAAGGGTGATTTAAGGTTTACACACGACCTGCTGTACTCAGCCAAAGCACAGGTCCACGATGCACCATCCCGCATCCTGGCCCTCGCCAGGGCCCGCAGCAGGTGCCCGGGGTTGAGGATAAAGATGGGGCAAGCGGGTAGTGACATTTCCCCGCCTCTGGTGACTCATGGCTCAGGCACGTACAGAGCCAACAATGTGCCTTTGTACTCGGGAGATCTCAATGGATTTCTCTTTCGTGGTCTTGTCTGGTTGGCTTTTGAGCCCATGTAAAGCCCGTAAATCCTGAAATAATGAATCCTACGGTTTATCTGCACCTGATGCAAAGAAAACGCCTCCCTTTGTGGGGATTGAACCTGACATCTGCTGGTTTCACTGCATGCCCGCCTGCCTTTATAACAAAAAAAAAAAATCCAGCCATTATTCATCTCCTCCCCTGCCAGTCAAGATTTGAGAGCCTTCTATCATTTCTGTCAACTGTTTCTTTCCTAGGCTGAGTCAGTGAAACAGCGTTAAGGACTGGACAGTGAAACTTGGCTGGCAGGTGAGTGCTTTGGAGCTAATCCCCGGCGTCACTGTATTTACACCCACAGCTAACTCGAGTACTGCCCAAGCGCTGTCACTAAGAGGCTCCTGTGAATCCCACTCAGCTCTCATATTTTGGCACAAAAACTAATGCCCGACAACAAAACTCAGGTGTGACGATGGCAGGGGACAGGACCCGGAAGGTGTGATGGCAGAGTGCCACCGTGTAGCACAGGCATGAGTTCCCGGTGCCCCGGGAGCGTGGCTTGGTGGTAGCGCCAGGGCACAGCTCATGTGGCTGCAGAGGGGGCAGCAGGATGTGCCGTGTACGACACGTCGGTACCAGCGTACACACCACTTACAAAGGAGGTAGGGCTGGTGACAGTAGGATCTGCTGGGACAACCCCAGGTACAGCCAGGTGACAAGGGAACAGGGGAAGAGCAGGGCCCAGCAGGACTGAGAGACACGTGAATTCACCTTAAACCCGCGTGAGACATCTCAGTTCCTCACACTTTTACAGGGCAGAGCGAAACTCCGCCTGCACAGCTCCCGCTCTGGGTTTGTGTCCATCTCACCACCATACGTAACGGAGCACGAAGGGAGAGGGAAGGCGGCGATGGGTAAAAATAACCTGTCGTAACTGGGCTTCTGCAACAAATTTGACTTTGTACCCTACGACACCGATTTAAGAACAGGACAGTGCCGACATGGAATGGTTCCAGGATAAAGAACAAAGACCGTCTTTCTGGCCACCAGGTACTCGGGGCACCAAAGATTCTGCGAAGGCCTCAGGGAGAACAGTAGCCAGGTCTCTGGCCAGAAGCTGTCTGCGCAGGTGGTGGTAAAGGGGTTAAAAGTGATTCCTGTCATCTGTCACACTGCTGAGATGGATACTGCACCTCCCATCCCACTGTGGTGGCACATGGAGAAGAGTGTCTCCAAACGGGGAGGATGCAGAAACGAAGGCTGAGAGATCCCAGCGCTGAAGACAAATGCCTTAAATGACAGAGTTGTCCAGCCTGTCTTGCTCTGCCTCTGTGCTCAGAGGGGCTGCGGTTACCGCATTTAATGGAAGATGAACATGCAGGTGACTGTCAGCCTTGGAGATAAAGGGGAAAATTGCAGCTGGGAGTTCAAGCCAAACCTGCTCACTTTGGAAATTAAGTAAGTCAAACAGACCTGCGACAAAGAAAGTGGCTTAGGGGAATTCGATGCCTTCTGCCCTCCTGGGGATGTGCTTTATTTTGGAGCTGGTCTGTTTTCCCCAGAGGGATTATCAAGCCTTTAGCCTCTTGAATTTCTCCAGGGCTCTGTTTCTCAGTTTGTAGGATGGTGCTCAGGGATTGGCCTTCCTCCCAGGAAAAGGTGCAATGCTTAATGCTCTGTAAGTTCCTTAGTGATCCAGTCCGTACTCGCTAAGCTGCAGATAGTGCTGGAACTGTGAATCACCCCATACTATCCCCACCACTGGATTTGCCTCTCTCAGATGGTCCCTTGTTTAAAGCATCGGGAGTTTTTACCTTTCTCCCCTTTTAAGTGCCCTGTGCTGTGCCAATTCCTGGGGCACGGCACTCATCCAGGTCTCTCGCACGTATGGAGCTCCGTGCCGATTCCTGGTCATCCAGGTCTCTCGCACGTATGGAGCTCTGCTCTTGAGTTTTCAGCATTTCCCTGGCTGCTGCCATTCAGAGATGCCCGGCGCCTGTACCTCCCTCGCCTGCCAGCACAGCAACGCATCTGCCAAGTGGCATTTCCTGGGTCTATAAACTCAGCCAGAGAACA